ACCGTCATGTACCGTTCCCCTCCCGGTACCACCGTCAAGGATTTCGTCAGGATTATAACACTGTGTGACTGATAAGGTTATAGATCTATTCTCTTCTTCTTCTTCTTATTTGGCGCTGTAACCGCCAAAGAGATTTTGGCCAACTGACGCCAATTGGAAATGCCAAGTGAAGCCAAAATACTTTCAGAGGTGGGGCATCGGTGTCCATTCGAACGACATGGTCAAGCCAGTTGAGCAGCTGTATTTTAATTCGCCATATACCAGCACGGGCATGATGAGTGACTTATAGTGTGGTTTTCGTACGTCGACAGAGGACTTTGCTCCTGAATTGGCTATTCAGTAAAGCAGTACTTGTTGGCAAGAGCGATTCGGCGTTGGATTTCCATGCTGACATTATTATCGGTGTTAATGCTGGTTCCCAAGTAAACGAAATTCTTTACTTTCTCGAAATTATAACGGCCAAAAGTGACGTGGGTGCCAAGGCGCGAATGTGCTGATTGTTTTTTTGATGACAGGGATACTTCGTCTTGTCCTCTTTTAGCACCAGACCCATTCGCTTTGCTTCCTTGCCCAACTTGGAAAAGCCAGGCTACGCGTCGCGGTTTTTCTTACCGATGATGTCAGTGTCATCGGCATAGCCAGCAATTATACGCTCTTGTAGTAAGTTGTTCCTGAGCGGTTCAGTTCTGCAGCTCTTATTATCTTTTCCAACATCAGATTAAAGAAGTCACATGAAAGAGAGGCGCCCTATCTGAAACCCCGTCTGGTGGCGAATGGCCACAGAGCAGAGCTGGTGGTATTGCTCAACGTCATTTCTCAAAGCCGTATGAGTTTTGAGGGGATATAGGAAACTCCTTTTAGTGCTGTCGAAAGCGGCTTTAAAGTCGACAAATAGGTGGTGAGTGCCGATCATTTTCTCGCGGGTCTTTTCCAAGATTTGGCGTATTGTGAATACCTGGTCTATGGTAGAAAATACATTCGATAAGACCTTGCAACCTATGCTTAAAAGGCTGATCCCGCGGTAGTTGGCACGCATGGCGGGGTCGCCTTTCTTGTGGATTGGGCAGAGCGCAATTGAATTCCAGTCGTCGGGCATGCACCTTATTACCTCCTTGCCATCGTAATTAAATAGCTCAGCTGACAGGCCGCCAGCTCAAGCAGCTTTGGCACTTTTCGTCATAGTCAGGCGTTGAGATATCGACTCCATCGTCATCGACTGGGACCTTGGGTTCGTCTTCTCCACTTCTTTCAGTGCTTCTGCCATTCAAAAGGGTCGAAAAGTGTTCCCTCCATAATCTGAGTACGTTGTGGACATCGGTCACTAGGTCGCCATGGTTGTTCCTACAAGAGTCTTGAAACCTTCCGTAAGTCGCTCAACTCTCTACTAAAAATTTCGGGTGTTTTTTCTGTCGGCCAGCATTTCAAGCATTTTCTCACACTCCTCACACAGCATGTGTGAGGGTCGAGCGCCGAATCCATTGGCCGTCTGTACTGATTGCAGCTTTTCGACGTTGAACTTTCCTTACATTGTTGGGGGCCCTTTTTGCTGATCCGAGGTTGGGTCGTATATTGGATGCATCAATATAGTAAAGCGAGTCGATGGTTGGCCCTCGGAGTGTACGTATTTACATCTAAAACACTGGAAGCATGCCTTCCGTCTATCGCGACATGCTCGATTTGGTTTCCCGTTTTTCGATCTGAAGACACCCATGTAGCTTGAAGGATATTTTTATGCTAGAACCTAATAATACATACTGCCAAGTTTCGGGCCCCGGCGAAGTCGATCACCCTCAGATTATATGTACGCTCTAACCTAAGAGAGCCTTGGATGCACATATGAATGAGATGTTGAAGAATCTCGCTTTGATGCGGATTGTGGTTAAACTTTCGTCCACTAGGGTGAACGCTTACCTTCCTCGCCCCGTCCATCGCATTTCGTGGATCGCGGTGATGTCAGCCTTTATTTTCCCTAGGACATCAACCAGCCGGGCAGATTAAGGGTTCGGACGTTCCAAGTGCATACCCTAAAATCATATTCCTTCCTATGTTTGCCGTGATCGTCATCAGAAGAAGGGGGTATCATCCGAGGCATGTGTTTTTTTTTCATTGGGCAGGGTTCTAACGTGGCGGGACCCAAACTCAGCGCACGCGGGCCACTCCCGCGTGTTGAATGGCAGTCAAAAGCTTTGCAGTACTGGGAAATGTACAAAACATAGTGGTCAAAAGCGGATATCTCAACTTTAGTTGATGTATTTTTTAAATTCATAGCCCTACATACCTGTATAGTAAACCAAATAGCCGGACCAGACGTTATTCAAAATAAAAAATGTAAAAAATAAACTTTTTTCCGCATACTCTGTAATATTCTTCCGCAATTTTGTAAGGTAAACTAACAATTTATAATCATTTCTTTGCAGCGAAATATCTTATCTTAAGTTATACACACAGGTATGTATAAATATGAGGACGTATTGAACATTTCGAGTATGTAGATTTTTTATGCTGGTATATTCATTTACGCTAAATATATTACTTGATTTTCTTTTGTCACACTTAAGAAGTAAACGTCTTGGCTGTTCACCCGACAGGTCTATATTTTTATCCATAATCTCAGATTGTACGCTTAGAAAAGACACAAACATAAAGATAAAGTAATAAACAATTGAACTATAAATATATTTATAGTTTCCGTTCAATCCATTTTTGCTCATTGTCGACTGCAGCCAGGTTTTTACCCTTTTTAAATGGAAGTGCTTTGAAGTTAGAGAGAATAACTTGATACAGAACCGGATGATCCACATATCCACCTTTTAAATGAATTCACTAATTATTTTGTTAGCGTTGGGAGTATAATTTGTTATACAGTACATATATAGGAAAAACCTTTAAAGTTAGGGGGGCCAAAATTATCAAGCAAGCATTTCGTGGTAATATATTTCAATATATAGGCAAAAATTTGGAAGTTAGGGGGGCCGGGCCCGCCCCCTTGCCCCTACCTGGCTACGCCCATGCTTGCCTGGACCAAATGAACCTTTCTGGGGGGAGTCTTGCTTTGTAGGACAGATTTAGTGCAAAACTCGGGGTGGGAAGGGTGTTATAGACAACATAAAGAAAAATTTTTGTAGATAAAACGGAAATCTGAATTTTGGCTAATTTTTTAATGGATAACACATCCCAACAAAAAAAAAAAAAACATTTATACGGCAAATGTTAAATCTGTTTTTGATAGATTTTTTTAATGTTTATTACGAATCAGTAAGCATCAGCTCCAGATTTTGAAAAAAACGAGATCAAAGTATCAAGAAGTCGCGGTTTTTGGCAATATTTTGGAAGCTATAGCAAAAAACAAAAGGTGATAGAACCTTCCTGGCTTAAATTAAACCTCGACTACTATCTCTGAAAAGAGATCTTAAATATTTGAGATCTTAAAATATTTTTTACCATTATTATTGTAAACTAAATGATGGACAACTTTTATGCATATTTCCCTCCACAGGGAGGGGAGGGTTTAAACCACCAAAAGTCTCCCCTTGTGGCCGATCCTGAGTGGTATTAAATCCTCCCTGACAAAAAAGCAAAGGGTAGAGGAAAATTCATAAGGTACATTTTTGTTCCAAGGATCGATTAACTGTTAAGTCTTTTACTTCTGTTCTAAAAGGGTATGTACGAACGTACATACATTACAAAAACATTTTCTTTTGCCTTTAAAAATGTACGTACATACCATACATATGTTTTTTTAATGTACATTGTTTTAAAATGGAGTAGATTTCTTATTCCAATATATTTATTTGTTTTTAATACCTACTAAAATAAGTTAGTAGCTATGTAGCACTCCAATCAAAATAAGAGCGCAAAAAACTAAATTCAGAGAAGACGTCAAAAGCGTCCCTACCCTTTTAATGTGCCATGTATGAACATATCGAGGGCTCTTATTAAATACCCTCTATCTGCAGTTTTCATAAAAACTAGTTTCTGATGTTGAAACCAATATGGGACTTTACTTTCATAACCAGGGCCGAAGAAAATAAGCAAGAAAAAATCCATTTTAAGCACTTAGAAAACATTGGTAAATATTCTTGCAAATATGCTCGCAAAATAACAAAATTTAAGTACAGTTTATTGTTTTGTGTTTATTTCAAGGAATTACAATGGACACACAAGTGTTGTGTATATTCTCAAATAATAAAGATCTGCCCTCGTCGTTTTATTTTTTTAAACATTCGATATTCTCCATTTGAGGTAAATTATTTTCAATCTCTTCAATAAAACCAATGCCTTCCCGTACAGACGAACCATTGGTTTTAAATTTTTTATACAAGCAGAAATGCAATTGAAGTTACTGGTTAATAAAAACCAAATCTGTTCCATTATTTCGTAAGGAAAAAGAGAGACAGCAAGCTGCAAAGTATCAGATGTCAAAACGCCTTGAACACTACTATTCACACACACACACGAAATAATAGCAATTTAAATCTTGACTGTTTACCTAAAAGGTCGGTACTTAGCTTTATACATTGAAATAAGTAAAATAAGCATGATCGTTAAAACTAACATTGGAAACCCCAAATAAGCAAAATAAGCAATTCCAAACAAAAGCTTAAACTTTTCGGCCCTGGTCATAACTGATGTTTACTTTACCTTTGAAATTCAATAGTAAATTCTACCAACAAGCTACTTATAAGGTTAGCATTAACAGTATCGATGACACTTACTTCTTAGGTGGATTTTTATATCAGAAGCTGAATCTTGTGCAAATTGCAGATAAAGGGTAGTGAATATAAGCCCGCGATATGTACAGAAGAAATCGACCGTTGTGCAAGAAACATTGCTTTTTATTAATTTGAATCGGCATCCTTACAATAAAATTATGTATTCATATAAGGTCCATAAAATACACCAATAAAAATTTGGTGCTTTTTCAAATTCAAAACTTGGCAATACTGCCTTTTGTTCGATGCTTCTTCTTTTTCTTGTCGAGTTCGTCTTGCTCTCTCATTCTAGTATATTTTGACGTCACGGCCAGTTTCTCTCAGCTCGATTGGCGCAATCTTGTATTCTATCATTCTTGTATTATGTACAAAGTATGAATAATAATAGGAATAAATATAATAGGACTAAATCAATAAGAATTAATTAATAGTTTTAAGTTAATAAGTTAGTTTGCTGATTTACTATTGGCGTTACAACATAAAATTTATTTAAATTGATTTTTTCTCATCGTCGTGAAGTTTTCAAGTCATTTTATAAGCTTCTTGATTATTTTGATACATTTCATTCACGTTGACATGTAAGAAAACTGACCTCTTCAACGAAGAATCATTGACAGTTTTCCACTATTTTAACTAATTTACTTATAAATGTAGATTTCTTTACTTTTTTCTTATGAATATTTGTTTTATATTGTGTACAATTTTTGCCTACGGGTTCATTCTTTAGACTCCACTGTAGCAGATTTGGGTTGTTCCTATTTGCGACGACGTATTTTATTTATTCTATTGTTGTCTTCCAGAGCATTCACGGCATATTCGTTACAGCATTCGGAAAATCCTTTTCTGACGTCCTCTACAGAGTTTTCTACTTTGGTATCGAAATTAGATTTTAAAGCTGATATAAGAACTCTCAACTGCATTAAATGTGTTGCTGTAATGCGGGGATCGCTACAGTTTTCTAACCATTTAAGGAACTTTTCACCATGTTTTATGGCTTCAGAATCTTTGTATTCGGTCACCTTGAACTCCAAAACTTTAAATCGTTCTTCTTCATCTGTCTTGTTTGAGTGATTATTGTTGGTATTGTCCTCGCTGCTGTTCTGATTATGGTCACTGATATAGGTGTCATTAGACTCACTGTAGCAGCCATCTCTGTCGGGGCCTTCACTTGTCGGGGTTGTCGCTTTACTAAGCGAAGCCACCGAAGGGTTATTATTGATTTTGTATAATAAGTTATCCAGAACGTCTTTGCAATCCGCCATATTTGTAACCCCATCTTCCTCCCCTTCATTGTAAAAAGGGGAGCTGGGATGATTAACATTAGATTGCTCATACGGGCTGTGTGCTGGAGTTCGGACTAGGCTTTCTTCTGTATTTGGGTGGGGCGATGTATTTGCAACTGGTCGTAAATGAATGGGAGAACTTGGCCCAAAAGGAGTTGTTATCGTTTTGGCGGATAGATCTTCGGGATTCGTTAATGAGTCTACATGTTTAATATCATTAGAATGATTATTATCAACCGAGGTTGTGCTTTCAATGGGAGAACTATCAATATTCTTGGTTAGCTGATTGAACAAAATATTTTCCAGATGTGTTTTTTGGGTGGAATCATTTGATGCGGATGATGTTTCGATGTTAGTCGAAATATTCACATTAGATGATGGTGGTGACTGCTTCAGCATGGATCCTCCATGAATTACGGCGGGCGTAGCTGGTGCTAGAGAGTTAAGGCTAGCTCCTAGAGCTTTACACCAGTTATACCATGCAGTATTTTTGTCGTCTAAACTAGCTGAGGGTGTTGAAGATGAAGTCACTGCCGCGGAAGCATTCAATGGCACGTTGATATGGAGTTTTGCAGATTGCTGAGGTGTTGAAGAACGCATTGGGGGGCTGGATGCTCCAACTGGTGGAACTGTCGGTGGTGGGTAGACATTACCTAAACCCAACATTGCCTGTTGAGATTTTAACCAATAAAGTAAAGGATCATCAGATAGACTAGTTATTGATGGTACACTATTTCCAACAGATGGCACTATTGATTTCATTTTATTCTCGTTGTTATCATTTGAACATAAGTTCAGCCCATAATTGACATTTTCTGAGGAATTAGGGGTTGGGGATTTCTGTTTAGCCCAATTTTTAACAGACAATCCCTGTTGTCGTTCTCCGCTTTCACTACGAGGACTTTGTTGTGGCTGTAGTTTTGTTTTCACATTACGCAATGTGCTCGCTGTGGCTGCCAATCCGTTTAGCCCGGACATTGCTGCTAGTCCAGGATTTAATTGCGCCAACAAATTCAAATTCGATGTAAGTTCATTAAAACTTATTGCAAGAGGGGATTGTGCCAAGCCAGATAATCCTGAGAGATGAGATAGACTAGTAAGCGGGCTTATGGCAGCAATAGCTGGATCTCCTTGGCGTGATATATCAGCACCATACACTTTGTTTTTAACAGCACCGCTAAAAGCCATATAGTCGGAGGGGAGACCATTGAAGCCTAGTTCTGACAAACTTTTGGTTGAACAATACTCGATGCCATTAAGTGGAGATCTTTTGTATACAACTTCATCGTATTTTATTTTAGTTGAATAATTGAATGGTACAGAGCCGCTGTCCATCTTTTGACGTTTTTCAGGTGGCCCTCCTAACATTGCCCCCGAAGCTCCCAATTTTTCAGTAAGTGAATCGGCAGTCAACTTGTCAGTTTGGCGAGACATAAAACGTAGCTTATCTTCATTTTTGCACCAACCACGTAAAGTGGATTCAGGGACTCCAATGTCACGAGCTACGGAAGCTTTAGATTCCCCGTCATGTATTCGTTGAATGGCATGAATTTTATCGCTCGGGGTCAAGCTCCGCAAAGGGCGCTTGCCTTTTGTGCTCATACGAATATTCATATGGGAGTAGCTGGATATATCCAACTTGAGGCCGTTGTCGAACAGTTTGAAGTCTGTAAATAAATCAAAGAAAAATAATTAAGTTAGACTACGTATTAACGTATCACTGTTTTTAAACATGTGCACCTGCATACATAAATAGTAGTGGGATTCATGAAACGTCGCAAAGTTGTTGCAAATGTCACATTTGTCGAAAAATTTGCCACCTTGCGACACAGCTGATTAATTTTTTATGGAAACTTTCTTGCGACAAAATTGCGACATTGGGGAGGTTTAGAAGGCGCAGAAGTTGAGCGCAACCGTTGCTACAAAAATCAGTGATCATAATGCGCCTTCTGAACGGCTTGATACATTAGCTGTCAAATTCAAAACACAAAACATGTTGTCTCAAATGATCATAAAAATATTACGATCATCTAACACGCAACTGTTCAGTTGATCAGAAGTGCAAAGCAACGCGTTCAGAAGGTGCAATCGCAACAGTTACTGAGCTGTTGCGCCTTCTGAACGTGCCCATTGCCATAGTATTTGAGCTGGCAAATTCAAAGTCGAGAAACACATGTTTTTTTATTGTCTTCAAATACTTCAAGAAAAAGTATATCAGTCAAGGTTGCTTCGAAATATATGTAATTGTAAAGACTTTTCGTTTTCTCTAACGCACGTAATTTTTTTTAAATTTCCATTTGCAATCCGTAGATGCAATAGGTTGTTCATACAACTTTGTTCGTAACATTGCCATTTCGCCAAGAATGCCACTTTGCGACGTTTTATAAATCGCACTAGTATGTATATATCGCAAACTTTCTTCAGAAGTGCATTAATTCAAAATTGTTCATGTGTCAGAAAACACAAAAAAAAACGATTTCTTAGCTCTTCTTAATTATATAAGGAAGACATACATACATACATACATATGATCTGTGAACGGTTCTACCACATCCAAGAATGATAGAACACAAGATTGCGCCGATCAGAGAGGATTTTTAAGAATAACTTTTGTGTGACGTCACACTGGTGCAATTGCGAGAGAGAAATGCCAAAACGTGAGCAATAATGGAAGAAGAAAAAATATTGCAAGGAAAACGTAAACAAGTTGCACCAGTGTGACGTCATGCAAACAACGATTCTGTTAAATTCGTTAAGAGAGGAATAGCGGTCCGAGATCGGCGCAACCTTTGTATTCTCTCAATCGTGTACCAAATCATATGTACATATGTATTAGAGGTTTACGCCGACAAGCTTTGCGGCGGCGGCGTGGTCAACTTCAACTTGAAACGCCGGCGCTACTGCCCATAAGGTAGATTCCAAAGAGCCATGATTCTACTAATGGTCGCGTTCATAAGACGTATGTAGCTGTTTAGCTCATCTGCTACGATACTGCTGGCAACTGTTGAACCCAACAATTACGTCTTAGAAACGGCTTGATGAATGTGCTGCCAAATGAACAGAAATTGCCACAAATACAGATCGTTGCGCCGATACTATTTAGAATTCGACGCTGAGCGGCCGCCGTGTTGAAAAAATCGTTCAATGTTACAATGAATTAAACAGTGTAAAATTATATAGCAAACATCTTAAAAACATATTTTTAGAAACGTAGTATTATTAAAAAATATTTTAGTTACTTTATCACGTCAGTAATACAAAATATAAAAAATTTGTTTGCAACTGCCACCTAACAAAGCGGCGTTAAATTTAATATAAGCGGCGTAAAAATTTTCCGCTGGAAAAAATGACGGAAAGTTGCCAACTGTTGGGCTGAGCGTAACTACTCAACTGTCCGTTTCTAAGACAAACAGCCAACGGTTACCCAACAGCTACGACTTATGAACGCGCCCAATCTTAATCATGTCATCTCGTCAGGGTTTGACATTCGCCATGCCATTTCAGATTATAATTCTATTTAATTCATTCTCGAATTAGTTTTGAATTTCAATACTGTTACTTCCTATTTGAATTATCATGTTGAGTGCCTGGCGTTGACGGATGGGCGAAGAGAAGAAGGTCTGTGGAATATATGTACATTATTGTGGCCCTTAAAACTAAATTTTAAGTCTCACCCCCTCAGTCGCTAATACAACGGTCAAAGATATCACATATAAATTTTAGTCCCGATTGGAGACGGTTAAGGCGTGTCGCACAGGGGTAAAAGTTCAGATTCCTCTATGGAGACTCAAAAAATTTAAATTAATTTTTTTTTTTCATCTAATACCCAAAATCGATACTACTGTAGGCGCAGATATCACGTATAAATTTTGGTCCCGATTGGAGTCGGTTAAGGCGTGTTGCACAGGGGTCAAAGTTCAGATTCCCCTATGGAGACTCAAAAAATTTAAATTAATTTTTTTTTTTTTCATCTTACCCTACTCAAATCGGCACCAAAATTTATATGTGACATCTTCGACGTTAGTAGTATCGATTTCGGGTATTAGATGAAAAAAATATTAATTTTAATTTTTTGAGTCTCCATAGAGGGATCTGAACTTTGACCCCTGTGCGACACGCCTAAACCGTCTCCGATCGGGACCAAAATTTTTGTGTGATATCTTTGACTATATTAGCATCGATGTGGGGGTGACGTTTAGGAAATCTGATGTTATAATGTACTTAATATATTTAAGGACCACCCTAATGTGCATACATGCATACATACATTGGTTCTCTATGTTCTCTACAGCAGGGGTTCCCAAACTTTATTCACCGCGGCACCCTTGTTGTGCTAAAAAAATTTCGCGGCCTCCCTACTCTTCAAATGTCTACCAAAACAAGAAAACACAATGCAAACTTTATACTCCTTTAGCTTACTTGTGAGGACTGAAATTGTTTTGATGATTTCATTATTTCCTTTAAACTTTTTGGAAGCTTTGACAATTTTACCCTGAAATCATTTGACGCTGACTTCACAAAAAGGAGAAGGTTATCAATTTGTCGGAATATCTTTTTATTAATATTTATTTTTTGTATGTATGTTACCGCATAACTTTGGACCACGTTAACCGATTACTATAATTCGTTTTATAGAGGAAAGGTGTTACCTCAGAGGCGGTCTCATTCTAATTTAGTTTAAATCCGATCATTGAATCATGGATAGATAACCGATAATCTTAAATTTGTATATGGGAATTGAAGTCGGTTTTGTTTTTTTGCTTAAAAATTATTTGTTTATGTAAGCATTTGTTGAAAATGCAGTCTCACATAGAAGTTTGAAAGTAAAAGTCACTAGTATTTTTAATGCAATCTTGCCAACAGCAGTGTTTTCTGCATACACTTGCATACACTTGCATCCAGAACTATCTTGGCTCCCTTCGTAGTATTTAATATTCAAAGTGCTGTCGTCATTGATGTCCACAAAATTTTCAAAAGCCTAATTTGTCATCCCAGTAGGTTTACTTTTCGGGTCACATGAAAACGTGTTTGTTATCCAGCTGTAGACATCCTTAGAGTCAATGTTGGGAAAACATTCGACTATTTTTTTTCTAAACCTTCCAAGTTAACGCTGGTAATGCGCTTTAACGCTAAGAAAATAACGTTTAAAGCCAATTTCACGAAAGCAGTTCAAGTGAAAAATGATTTTAATATTTGTAATTTTATATGGAAATTGGCTGAAAATAAAAAATCATTTTCAATTCAAATTGCTGGTGAAACCCATTACACAAATATTTAAAGGTAAACCAAGGCATATTTAACAAGGTAGAAGTGACAACTAGCTCGAACTCTCTTCTAGCTAGTTATAATGTCAAAAAACTGTAAACAAACAAATTAACCCTATGAGATTCGCGTGCTATGTTTGCTACAAATTAGCATCAATTGAACCTCATCATGGTGAAATTATACCAGGTGTAGTAAAAAGAGTGAGATGAAAGATTTGACCCTATCTTATTTGAAAATTTGCCTTTAAAAATTTGTATAAAATGGCCGCCTGTTAGGAAAATAAAGCGAGACAGCTTTTTTATTACTCCACCTGCTTATAATTTCACCATGGAAATGTATGTACGTATACTAATTTTAAGGATTACCTCAATATTACCTTCAAAGAATTTTAGCTGCATTCGCATCTTATATGCACATATACATATACAGAAAAGAATACCTCATAAAGGAAACCACGTCATTAAATTAAATAAATGTTTTATGAAACTGTTTTAAATTTTTTTTGTTTCTATTCGCCCAATGTTTTTGCTCGTTTAGTTAAATATTTACTTCTAAAAAACATCCCCACTTATAAAAAACGATTTAATGTTTTCTTTTACATACGTATGTATATCAGTGTAAATCTAGATCCTGACGCAGTTATGTGTGCATAATATTGCAAGAAAATTTTCTTACTCAGTTCTGAAATTCCGTGGCTTCAGGCAACCAAGTCTTCTAACTTCGCAACTAGGCGCCTTAAAGTATCGCACCACTTTCCATACAATGCAACGCTCGTACAGTGATGCCAGACATTCTCTGTTAAATATCCCACGGAAATGGGGAAAAAATCCCTCAATTACCCACATCTTGAAAATTTATCCCACAAAATTCCCAACAAATTTAAACATATACATGTTTCAGTAGTAAAGAAGTAAAATTCATATAAAATAATAGTAATAGTTTGGCGCTTACACATATGTGCTTTTCCTCCAATTTGTGGCGGTCCCCTTGATGTCACACAAAGGGGAGGGACCTACAGTTTTACGCCGACTCCGAATGGCGAGTGTATTTTTATGAGAAGCTGTTTTTCATGGCAGGAATACACTCGGAGGTTTGCCGTTGCCTGTCGAGGGCCGACCGCTGTTAAGAAAAAACCCCTTTTTCTACATTTTTCTCACTCATTCATTTTTTCCCTTTCATTTTTTTGCTCACTCACTAAGGGCCTAAAAGAATTTTTTGGTGACTTTAAAATTGAAGCACATTCATGTGCTATTTAACGTTTCATCAGATAATTTGTTCCGCTTTTTACATGAAACACCAGTTACAACTGAAAAGATTCTTTCTTACTCAGCGCTTGAGTTGGTTAAGGTAAGAAAATTTTCGAAATTGTCCTTATACTTTTTAACAATTATATACCATTTCA